TCGAACCATCTGATTCTTGACATGCCGCCGTAAATTTACTAAGCTATTATTGAGCTTAAAAACGTAATCAATAACCAAACGACGAGATTGAAGCCCGTCTTAAGGTTGCCTGTAAGTCCATTTAAAATACTACGAGCAAAATCCAAAGTTTATTTCGCTTATCTTTCCAGTATCTTTTTTCCAGGAATGCGGTTAACTCTGCTCATGGATAAATCAGCGAAATCATGCAAGACCCCAGGCACCAGCCGGAAAACCGGAGTAAGTAGTTTATGTGTTCTTTTCTATCGCTTTATACAAACCCTGCATTCATATTGGTGATATCACCTTGAAAATTAGAGGACATTCCTGACTCGAAAGCGGTCCTTGATGATTGAAGCCGTCAGCCGAACCTTCCGGTGTCGGCAGAGGGTCCGCATAAATATATATATATATTGCCAATTAAAGCGAAAATGCGCGTCCCGGGGATAAATGAAAAGAAGAGGCGATCTCGGGAACCATAGGTTTAATAGCCTATTAAACCTATGGTTCCCGAGATCGCCTCTTCTTCTCATATATATATATATATATATATATATATATATATATACAGTCTATTAGTAGGAACTGGTACAACAATAAATAATTCGCCGGTTCGTCAGGCTTATGCAGGAAAGTTCAGGAGGTCGGTAACGTACTATGACCTAGGCATAACCGCTGTCATAGTTCGTTACGTGACAAAACGCCTTAACCGAAAGGCTGGAGCGAAAGGCAGCATAAGTCTGTGTTACCCATTATGAGACAGTAATGCTTTGAAGAAAGTCAGTCCTTTCGAGCAAGTTTGTCTTCAATAAACATTCTGCAGGACCGTTTTTTGATTTTGCTGGTTTGCCCTGTTAATATGTTCAGAGTAGAAATGAGAATTCTCACGCGTTGAGAAGATGCTGACAAAAAAAAGCTTGTTTTAAAATGTGTTCTACGTCCATCCGTCTGTTCATTAAGAAAAGGTCACCTACATGCCCGAATTCCATTTGACCATCATCCATTTGCCCATCGTGTATCCCACAGCAAGGTGAGGCGGGAACTGTTACTTGCACATGAATTAGTTCATAGACTTACGCTGCATCTACCGCACTCTCTCCTTCCCACCTGTGCCCAATGTCAAGACATAGTCAAGAACACCGTAGGTAAGGGAGGGCGCAGGTGGCTGGCACAGCCCGACTTTCACTTAGACGTAACAGACCACACCCCTTGGTCCACAGCAAGCCCTTGGCCAGGATTTTAACCAACAACAACTCCACGACGGGTCAGAAGGACGAGGAGGATTGGGCAGCCATGCTCCCTACCTGTATACTCAGCGGACGCGCAAGCGCATCGACCGGCAGGGAACCAGGTGATGGGTATCTGCTAGAGCACAACAAGCTTTGAGGGCGGGAATTGCTGAATAATGACATAGCAGACACTCACAGTTCATAAATCCCAGAGGAGTGGGACGCAGTCCCGCATTTGGCCTGGGCTATCACCCCTCAGAGGCTGGGTAACACTATCCATCCGGCTGTACCGCAAGAGCGACATTATCAACTCCTTCCAAGCATGAAGCCAACCGATTGACAGTTCGACCATCGGTTTCGATGATGTCCACCGTGTGTCCCACAGTTGCAGCAGCAATGGGAGCAGGGACGGTGACTTACGCAGGGGTTTATAGTGCCGGTAGACTTGCGTAGCATCTACCTACACTCTCTCCTCCTCCCTCACCCGAGCCCGGTGTCAAGACAGAGTCAAGAAGACCGGAGACGAGGGAGGCCGCAGGTGGATGGCTCGGACGGATCCTCACCTTGGCGTTCCACCACACCCCCTGGTCCACACAACAAATGACCAGGATTTCAACTAACACAAGAGAGATTTGGAGGCTGGCACGGCCGAAGCCGCATCTAGGCGTGCCGCCAACGCCTGGCTCGGATCCAACACTGCGGTGGGAGTGCCATAAAGGCCACATTAAAAAGGAGCCATTGAAGCCTGACTCTCAGACCGCCTCCAGTCGAGGAGGAGGTCCAAGTTACCCCGTCAGTTGGCAACCTTTCAAGCCACGGCTTTTAGCGCACCGTGATAGCTTCAAGCGCGTCAGATTGTTTATAGTGAGGAGGAAGTGCGCTGAGTCGTCGACCTCACTCTCCCTTCCCACTCCCACACCCCAGCCGCTGTCCGAGCCGGTCAGCAGACTGGAGTGGGGAATGGGCGCGGTGGCTGTCATGGTCGACTGACCATGACTGCGCGCGCCACGGCACGACCTGGCCCCCCATACACACACAAACACCAGGATTTCACACAACGGGGGTTGAACGCCGTGTCTCGCACTTGCGTGAGAGTGCCGTAGAAGGTGCTGTTTCAGCCCGTCCCCAGCCCACCCGTCCGCCACTCCACACAACACACACACACACACAACGCGACGAACTGCGTGAACCGAGAGCGGGCCTCAATCAGCAACCTTCCTATCCACGACGCTTGACGTGTCGGGATAGTCTCGGACTCAAGTCACCCGTGCAGCCGAAGCTGCATGGGGACCCAGTCGAGATGCGGACTTCCCACTTGCGTGGGAGGTGGCAGTTGGGTGCATGAGGTGTGTGAGTGTTGATTTCTGGTGGGGTGGTGGTGATGGTGGTGGTGGTGGAGGAGGAGGAGGAGGAGGAGGAGGAGGTAGGGAGTGAGTGAATGTGTGCTGTGACCGGCGGTTGTCTACCGCAGGTCATCGTGGATGCGCATGTGGCCGAAGAAACCCATGCGATGCCTGAAAGTGCGAGGACAGTGCGGGCAGTTGAGACGAGCTTGGTGGGTATAGGTGGGTGCTCCAGGCACTGGTTCGCCAGTCTCTGTGTGATGG